AACTATAGTATTACAAAATTATGAATAGTTTTTAGAATATTACCACTCAGACATTGGTATAAATACTTGGATAATAAATTTTAATTAGTCACTATGATTCGGTTTTCATAAAAATGAAATATAATAAAAACAAACATATAAAACCTTGCACAAAAAATTGTGCTATGCGTCGCCGATAACACGATTCAAGAGAAACTTTTTACAGATCCTATTTTACTGAAAATGTTCAGAAATTATTCGATAAAACTTTCATTTTTAACTTTTGCTTATTTGTAATATCATGAACCGAATAATTGAAAAATGAAATATAGGAAAATCAATATTCAACAAAATATCGGTGTATACATTTTTAATACAACTTGATTATAACAATACAAAATAATTTATTTCAAAACATTCAGGTGATGAATGCATTTCAAAATTCAACACATATTTGTTTAAATAATTGTTCAAAACGGACAAATATCCAAAGCAATTGCAAGAATGAGAGAAAATTTGAAAGCTGCGCAGTCAGCATATGCAAGCTATAAGTGACGCTGTAATGATCTTAGTTACCTTGAAAATAAATTTTGTTTTACCCCTATACAGGTGGCTGTAATGGTTTTATGATATCATTTAAAGAAAGTATAAATAAATAATTTACTAATTGACTGTCTTTTTCCTACTTGTAATTTGATGGATGGATATCCGTGCCTCTGAAGTTCTGGACGATTTTATAGATTCTTAACAAATAAATACAATTCGTTATCCTTAAAAAAATTAAATTTAACGCTATGTAAGACCAAATATGCTCAGCCTCCTAGAATTTAGTCTGAGTCAAGTTTATGAAAAATATAACATGCTATTATATATTAGATTGAGTGAGGAAGTTAAATGTCCGAAATGTATTCGTGACTTTAAAAAATTCTTTATTTAAATAAGATTTTCTGATATCCATTTTAACTGAAACAGTTACATGACTGATACGTGGCAAGAAATTTAGCTTTGTAGGAAAGTCGTTTTGACTAGGAAGATAGTTACGAGAAACTTAATAAAAGCCCATTTCACGAACAGAATGCGAATACGTGGTCATTACCTTAAATAGTATTATGTAAATTTAATTTAATTAAATATCAAAAGATTTATCTGCATTATACTTATGATATAAGTAAGACGACTTATTTTAGAAATTAGTGTAGGTCACATTGTTAACAATAATATATGCATTTATATTACATTAGAATACTATGTTCTTTTAAAGTAAGTTAAGCTCAATAATTTACATTTTATGGTATAAATTCCTGGCAACAGGAGCAAGCACAGGAAAATAGCAAAGGAGAGGCTTTAATCCCCTGCAGTACGTGACGCTTGTGTCAATATAATTTATAGCGGGAGTGTGTCAGACGTCCCACACTTCGTGGTACGTTCTCTATACAGCAAAATAGCACGTGGCATTGCAGTCACGTTTTAAACAAAGAAACTTTAACTATATATGAATTTTTAGCATAAAGTTTTATAAAGATTAAATAAATTGATGTAATATATACAAAAAATAACCGTTTCTCAATATAATTAGATCAAAATTACAAAAGTTTTTTTTGTTGTAATATTAAATTTATTTGTTTATATTATCATTCATTTAGTTTATAGGTGAGATTTATTTTTGATTTTAAAGTTACCATGTATGGAGTATTGCTTATACAAAATCTAAAAATTAAATTATTAGAGGAGTAAAAAATTTGGTTCCTAATTAAAAGAGACAAGCAAAAGTGATAATTTAAAAAACTGCAGAGAAAAAAGGCATCAAATCAATTACTTACATAAATGTAGCGTTGAGTGTAATGTTTTTATTTTTATTCAATTCATTGTATAAAAAGAGGTTAAATATATTAAAGTGTTACATCGTGGATTGCAGCGTCGAAGTTAAAACTGAATATCTCATATTCTTATCTAAAGTTTTCCTTTATCCTCCAAGAAAGGCGCAGAAGAGGAAACATGCCTTTAATTCAAAGCGAGACGTGACGCTCGTGTCAATATAATTTTAGAACGGTTTTTGAGGCAACGTTTTTGAAGGAAATTTTAACTTTTACAAATAAAGTAACCTTAAAAGCTGCAGCAAAGGAGAATATAAATAGTGTAATATAAATATAAATGTGTCCTTTATTTCAAATATGCTACTACATATTAAATCTCATATCTTTTGTAAAAAGCAAAACCGCGACAGGTATAGAAAAAACTGGATGTAAAATCTTAAAGGAAAAATATCAGGAGAGAAAAGTCTGCAGAATATTATATCAGTAAAATTTCAATTATGAAATTAATATTAGAGAATTTATTTAGTATATAACATATTACACTACTTTAAAAGCAAATAGAAATGTTTAATTCAAAAACAAACCAAGCTTCTAGATTAGTCCTGACCTTGAAAATAGACTTTATATAAAATTTCAAAATAATCGATCTGAATTAAAAAATTAGCCTAACTATTATTATTTTATAGTGTTTGTAATTGGAATTCCTTTGGTACTTTGCATATCACAATAAAGAATATAAATAAATATAATGTAATGTACAATGTTTTATGATATTTTGATTACAGGAGAACTTGCGATCAATAAAAAAATTACGATCGTATAATAAAAATAACTGAATGCAATTATAGCATTTCGAAAGATATCGTTCTAGTTCTAAAAAAATAGTTCTAAAATTCTTTAAGTTCCAAAACCTATTGCAAAACCATATTTATATATGTACTTTTCCTAACAAAAGAAAATTAATTTGTCCTGTGCACTTGAATTTTAACAATCAAAGGTACTTGAGGCTTGATTATACAATTTTCAGGGAAGTATTAGAAATGCTTTGGTGTAGGTTATTTGGACTCCATTGCCTATTTAAAAAAAATGGCAATACTTTAAATGAAATATTCACTAAATGAGTAGAAAATATACATAAAAATTTATAATTATTATAAAAAACTGGTTTTGCTATGCATATAAAATATGCTGACAGATCCAAGGATAAAGAACTTCCGAGTTTTACCTTCTACAGATATTTAGAATTAAATTTTTAACCCAATTAAAGATAATTGAGGGCCCATACAAAATATGTAGTTATAAAAAAATAATTTCAACTTCGTTCAAAAAACTTTTATGCTATATACATAACTTTGTTGTACAAATATGTACCAGAAATTTCTAGTTTTCGAATATATTTTCTTACTTTCAATACCTGAAGAAAAAGTTTAAAACAACTTTAACTTATTGTGCTAGTTTCACTTCAAAGGTTTATACAAATATTTTACTTCGTCCAAGTAATGAAACAAATATAATGTTATGTTGTTTCATTGAAAAAAAATTATCGTCAAAACTAAAAAAGTAAGTCATATTTTATAACAATAATTTCGGGTTTAATTATTTTTGTATTTCTCAAACATATATTGAGCGCTGTTTTGTATCTTGTGGAACTAGCTCTTAATTGTTTCTGATTGTTATTTTAACAAATTTATTGTTTAAAGGGGGTAGATCCAAGCTGTAGTCAATTTACTACAGCTCGAACATGGGCTTGCTTGATCGCAGAAGTACCGGCCTCTCACAGAAAATCGGAGTGAAGTGGTCTTTACCGGCTACGTTTCGTCCGATAAGTGAGAGAGCCGGGTGAATTTTCCCTGTTCCCATCCTTTCCTGTCCTTTCCTTATTACCACCTTTTCTTCCTTCCTAAAGAATAAAGGCTGGCAACCCTGGCTGGCAACATCTCTTATGTTGCAAAAATCCATGGGAGACGGTGATTCCTGCCCATCCAGTAGACCGTTTGCTCGTTGCCACCTTTGACATAAAAAAATAGTTCGAGAGAGGTTTAGATTACATTACGTTTACCACATGAATTTACTTCTTCATCTTCTTCTTTCATGAAATGACGAATATTTTCATTTTTATTGTAACTTATTATTTGGATGTTACGTAATTCTAAAATTTTACATTTGGATCTTATTTTAAATTGTGATAAAAATATATAAATATAGTAGCTTTATTGTGTTTTTTAGAATATTGACATTGACATTTCAAATGAAACTGTTATTTCCTACATTTAATAAAAATTTCGATTTTCTTGCTTGTTTTATAACCAGTTCACTCACTGCTGTGTCATATATGTACATATGTATATCGTGATACATAGCTGTGATCAATGACTTTTAAGAATCCTTCCTTTTTTATGTTACAGCTTTTGCTTGATAAAAATTATAGCTTTAATTTTAATATATAAATGATAGGAATTTTTAAAAAAGTAATAAATCTATCTAGGACAGCACATTTAAATTAAAATTATGAAAACGGAGACAATAATTCTAAATGATTAAGTACCGCTCTAGAAATTGTAACATTTTTTATGGTATTCTATTATATGTATTTTTTGAGTATGTACGATAAGCTTTTATTCCAGCTGTAATCTAAATCAATACAGTTATGTATGTTTATTTAAGGGATAAAACAAAAATTTTATCTCCTGCGGTCCATTTCCAGTATTTTTCCAATTATTAGATTTATCATTTCTATATAACTAATGTAAAAGAAATAAAATGAGATCCACAAGAATTGTATCGACTCTTGATAATTGTGAATCAAGATATTTTATAAATCTGGCAATATAAAGCATCATAGTAAAATTTGGAGATTGATTAATAAAAGCTCCCGAAACTCTATTTTCACCTCCTAATCTATTTCTTTCTATCTTTATCCAATATTATAGAAATTGTAGCCCTAAAAGAAACTAATTGTAAAAAATAAATAAATAGAACTTAAGACAACTGGCCAATCTACATAAAAATTGACAACACGAGTTCTTTAACTTGTTCATTGTTATGAGTTTCTTAAGTCTCCCGGTTTTTGTAATTTGCAACCTAATGAGGACAATGTCATTCTTTAACACTCACTTTTCATCTTCCTCCTGTCTAGATTCTACAAACTACGACATTATTAGAAATTAGCAACTTGAAAACAATTTCTATAATAGCTTTCACTACATCATGTATAAACAGTTCTCAGGCATGGAAAGCTTTCTACTTTGTCCAGTGAAAAGAAGGAGCATACACAGACATACGGTAGGTTTAATGTACAATGGTATATATTTTTTAAATTACACATTAATATAATTGCTATAACGATACTTAAGATTTATTCACTTGCAATCAGAATATTAACAAATTTAAAAAAATATGTTTCTTCCACTAATTGACTGTCTTGATGTTTGTTTTCCTAATGTTAGTCATGAACCATTGGATAGAATTGAATGCCAGCAATAATTAATTCTACAATATACAGGGTGACTGGTGAATTACTATCAATATTTAAGGAGAATACTCGGTACATGATTCTCATTCGAAATATGTAAAAAAAATAGGTACTTAATTTTTGCCCAAATTTCCGTATAAATAAATAAAGTGTGGACACGTTCCAAGTGTTCCAAGTGTGGACGCGTGCGGCGGCGCGCGTGTGTGTGTGTATACCTAATCTGGAGGGTGTTCACACGATGCGTAATTAATTACATAACTTTTGGTTAACTTTACTTAGAAGTTTATTGATATTTATGTTATATTAATTTTTATTTTGTCATATATGATCGTCAAATATCACGTCCTCAAGTATCGATAGTAATTCACCAGTCACCCTGTATATTTACAATTTTCTTAAGTTCGTATATGCTTTCATAAATCCCCGTCATCACTAATAACGCTAGCCCAAAGTTTTAATTTGGTTTGATGCTCATAACAATCAAATATGAACTCATGAATGTTTAAACATCACACTTGTTTTATCAACGATACAGGCACTGTGTTTGCTATTTGATTGTGGGAAAATTCGCTAATGTTATCTGAAGAGCACTAAGTCACAACCCTTTTTAAATATTTAATAAAGAGGCATTTTTATGACAAACAAGTAGCAATATGAGTCAGTGGTGGCTCAGTGGTTAAAGGGCCCGCCTCTCGTCGCCGAGGGCGCGGGTTCGATCCTGGCCCGGGCAAGTACCAATGTGATTTTTCCGAATCATATGTACTTTCTAAGAGTATTTAGACATCACTGATTAATGTTGATTCCCAAAAGAGGGTTGATGTCAGGCAGGCGGCCGGTCGTAAAAACCAATAGCCAAAAACTATTCACAACACGTAAGGCAGACCCTGGCTGTAGCTGGGAAAATGCCAGGCAGAAGAAGAAGAAGAAGTAGCAAATTGATATAAATCACTTATTATCAATATTATAAATTTATTTTAAACTCTGCTTTAATATATTTGTATGTAACTATGAGTATAGGTGAAATAATAAATAATGTAATAAGAAATATGTATGTATGTCTAGATATGGATTTTTTATTTTTGTTCCCATTTATTTCATTTTTCATTCAAATAATAATAATAATAATAATGTCAATGAGGAAATCTCATTTTTCTCTCACAATATAAAATTTATCAAGCAATTATTATTTTTAAACTGTTTTCGCATTTATACATTTTTGCCACTTCAAACTTAAATGAGACGAAACTACTAAGCATTCCATGGATTCACCGTGCGGGTGCCGGGTCCATCGCGTTGCAGGGAGAGGAGCTTCAACAGTGCCTGGGACTTGCGACCCAAGTGTAGGTTTAAGGGGCCCCTTAACTAACGCGCGTTATACGCTCACCTCCACTGTCCAAGCTCCTCTCCCTACCTAACCAAATTTGAAAAGAACCTACTAGGGCTGCCTTCGATATACGTTCCAAGAATGCATTAATGTGAGTTCTGGACAAGCCCAAGTCCTTTAGTAGGTTGTAGAGAGATTTCGCTGTTATACCTCTCGCTCCCACCTCTACCGCGTACAAATCTACTACGAACCTATTTCGAGTGAGTTCGTTTGTGAGCTCGTAATATTTGTTGACCTTGATGGTATGGTCTTTGGGGATGTTGGTTTCCCAAGGGACCGTAAGCTCTATCATCACTACGCGCTTTAGAATTCGCGAAAACAAAAATATATCCGGTCTGGAGGCCGACGCACAAATATCCTCGGGGATTTTATATTGCTTTTCATACGTGTCCATCATTATAGTCCAATCCGACGCCGCTTTAAGGATGGAGTAAGGCTTGACGTTTGATTTTGTAGCCCTAGTGCCTTCTCTCACAAAACCTACTGATCGTTCGTTTGTGGTTATTTCCTTTTGCGCTCTGGCTACCGAAAGACTAACCGCTTCACGTATGACTTCTAGAACCCTATCGTGACGACGCGAGTATTGACCGCTGTCCAGGAGTACCTTACATCCCACCAGCAGATGCTTAGCAGTTCCAACTGCCTTTCCACAGATATAGCAAGTTTTTTCGGTACTCTTACCCCATCTTACTAAATTACTCTGATCTGGGAGAGTCATCTGGAACGCATTGAGATAGAATTTTAGCAATGCTGGCGACCAATCATAAATTAAAGTGCGCCATTTTAATGCTAATGGGATGCAAAAATCTCCTATGTCTAACCACTCGTTCTGCATTTCTAAATTCATTGCATGGATCTTATATTTATCATTCTCGTCTTGCCGAATAAAAGACTTCAATATATCCGCATCTTGGACTTTCCTATTTGATCCTAACCCCGCTCTGTTACTTTGTGCTCCTATCATAAATTGCTTATGGAATTGAAGTCGTGACTCTAGCTCGGGGGCATCTTCATCTTTTGGGAGCGATGTCACTATGTCATCATGGGATTTCCCCAGGATATATCTCTTGGAAACTCTTAGGTTTTTATAGAGCTCCGATGGCCTTTTTAGACTCATCCCAAAACTATTGCTTCCCCTAAATAACGCCGATGAATCAGCCGTTAGAGCGAGCCCGAGCCACAACTTCAACATCTTTATGACGCCTGCATCTAACTTTGACAAAAGGGTTTTATTAAAATCATAGACGAGGAAAGGCCAATTCAAACGTGAAGTTAAGTAATTCTCGTAGATCCACGCTTTTTTGACGTTACTTATCGGTTGGCTATCTACCTTGTTAAGATCGTTCAAAAAGCTATCTACTATTCCTTCTAAAGATGGAGTACGGCCTATATTATCAATCTTACGACCGAGAAATTTAAATGGTGCATTTTCCGTAACCGTAGAAATGCATTGACCGCCTAACGATAGTCCCGGATCGTATGAGGTGTATCTTGTATTCCGCCTACCAAGACACAGACAATGACATTTACTGGGTTTTGTCCTCAATCCATCCGTCCACTCACAGAATTTATCCACTTCATCCAATAGTACTTGACAGTGTTTGGGGTTACGTGTCAGTATTGCGAGATCGTCAGCGAAGGCTAAAATGGATTCCGTGTATTTATTATTAAACTTAAACCGATAACCCCATTTTTTCTCGTTACAGATTAATTTGTCTACTAAGATGTTAATAACGATATTAAACGTAATTGGAGATAGACAACAACCTTGAAACAGTCCTACATTATAACTCAAACTTTTTGAAGGGCCTTCTTTAGTTATTATAGAAAACCTTAATTTTGAGTAATACGACGCGATCATATCTCTAACTAGGGGTGGAAAGTTGTACCATCTAAGCGCGAATAGCATCAATTCGTGTTGTATCGACCCGAAGGCGTTCTCCAAGTCTATCCAACAAACAGTGATTTGCCGCTCGCTTTTTCTAGCATCTTTCAAACTCTCCGACAGCAAGGTGTTGTGTTCTAGGCATCCAGAAATCCCGGGTAAAAAACCCTTTCTGGTGATTTGGCCTAAAATAGTTGTTGCTGAGCATGAATCGCGTCATTCTCGTTTGTAGAACTGAGAAAAAGATTTTCGATATAGTATTTGTTAAAGCTATCGGTCTAGTATCTTTCGGATCAGTAACTATATCTTTTTTGGGAATGAGGACAAAAATTGCTTTCCCGAAGCACTCCGGGATTTGCTTCCCTGACCAGATTTTACCGTATATATTTAGGAGGTGTTTACGAACCGATGGACATTTTTTAAAGACTATATATGGGATACCATCGGGTCCCGGTGCAGATTTAGACGACTTCCTCTTGATCTGACTACTTAGTTCCTCTAGCGTTGGTGGAATGCCGTGGAATTCGATTCGAGGAAATTCAGGTTTTTGATCGTTTGGATCCCTATACCGTCTTAAACTTTTAGGCACTTCGTATGTGCTCTTAAAATGGTCGTAAATTTGATCGTTGGTCAAGAGAAGCTGTCCGCGTTCTTTCTTAAAAATGGTTTTCGAATACTCAAAGGGGTTTTTATCGAAATCTACTTCTTGTTTTGCCCGGTCAAAATTATCGCGATATTCTGTAGTTTGCGCCGATATTCCTTGGATTAATTTAAGGATTGACCTTAGCGCCCTAGCTAGTTGATGACTAAGGTGATTGTCGCCTAGAGCTTTGGCTATACGTAGATTTTTTATTAATTCCCGTTTTTTTTCTTCCGCATTTTTATTTTGAACGAATTGTCTTTATTTTTGCGAGCATAACGATTACGTGGTGGATATTGCTCGCTAAAGTAGTCATAAACGGTATTTTGGAAAGTTTCTACCTGCGAGTTTAATTCCTGCTTCGAGCCCGGATGCTCTAACAGGACCGCTAAGTTGTCATCATGAACTTTCCAAGTCGATTGTTTTACATTAGGAATGCTAAGACGTGTCCTGATGTTAATGGACTCCTGGTGGTTTCCAGTTAATGGTTCACCATGGGATACATGAGGGTCAACTCTATCCGAAGTGATAGTTGGAGATCTTACCGACGACTGTCGTGCTTCAACACCATTATGTGTTTTGAGATGTTTAATGTACCAGGCTCGTCTCTTGTAAATTTTCCCGCACGTAGAGCATTTCAAGTCCGTATTCGCGCCGTTTTCGCCGTTAAAATCGACCGGTGGACAGATCTTCCGCCCCCCCTCTCGGACTGTCCCAGGGGTATTTTTCTTATTCGGACTTTTAGCTTTATATATACCGGGCTGGGCTTGCTAGGCCGTTGCCCTCGGCTGTCTTTCCAGCAGTCATCCGTCTTTCCGGCAGTCATCCGTCTTTCCGGCAGTCAGCTGTCTTTCCAGCGTCAGCCCGTCTCTCCGGGCAGTCGTTTTAAATGAGACGAAACTACTAAGCATTCCATGGATTCACCGTGCGGGTGCCGGGTCCATCGCGTTGCAGGGAGAGGAGCTTCAACAGTGCCTGGGACTTGCGACCCAAGTGTAGGTTTAAGGGGCCCCTTAACTAACGCGCGTTATACGCTCACCTCCACTGTCCAAGCTCCTCTCCCTACCTAACCAAATTTGAAAAGAACCTACTAGGGCTGCCTTCGATATACGTTCCAAGAATGCATTAATGTGAGTTCTGGACAAGCCCAAGTCCTTTAGTAGGTTGTAGAGAGATTTCGCTGTTATACCTCTCGCTCCCACCTCTACCGCGTACAAATCTACTACGAACCTATTTCGAGTGAGTTCGTTTGTGAGCTCGTAATATTTGTTGACCTTGATGGTATGGTCTTTGGGGATGTTGGTTTCCCAAGGGACCGTAAGCTCTATCATCACTACGCGCTTTAGAATTCGCGAAAACAAAAATATATCCGGTCTGGAGGCCGACGCACAAATATCCTCGGGGATTTTATATTGCTTTTCATACGTGTCCATCATTATAGTCCAATCCGACGCCGCTTTAAGGATGGAGTAAGGCTTGACGTTTGATTTTGTAGCCCTAGTGCCTTCTCTCACAAAACCTACTGATCGTTCGTTTGTGGTTATTTCCTTTTGCGCTCTGGCTACCGAAAGACTAACCGCTTCACGTATGACTTCTAGAACCCTATCGTGACGACGCGAGTATTGACCGCTGTCCAGGAGTACCTTACATCCCACCAGCAGATGCTTAGCAGTTCCAACTGCCTTTCCACAGATATAGCAAGTTTTTTCGGTACTCTTACCCCATCTTACTAAATTACTCTGATCTGGGAGAGTCATCTGGAACGCATTGAGATAGAATTTTAGCAATGCTGGCGACCAATCATAAATTAAAGTGCGCCATTTTAATGCTAATGGGATGCAAAAATCTCCTATGTCTAACCACTCGTTCTGCATTTCTAAATTCATTGCATGGATCTTATATTTATCATTCTCGTCTTGCCGAATAAAAGACTTCAATATATCCGCATCTTGGACTTTCCTATTTGATCCTAACCCCGCTCTGTTACTTTGTGCTCCTATCATAAATTGCTTATGGAATTGAAGTCGTGACTCTAGCTCGGGGGCATCTTCATCTTTTGGGAGCGATGTCACTATGTCATCATGGGATTTCCCCAGGATATATCTCTTGGAAACTCTTAGGTTTTTATAGAGCTCCGATGGCCTTTTTAGACTCATCCCAAAACTATTGCTTCCCCTAAATAACGCCGATGAATCAGCCGTTAGAGCGAGCCCGAGCCACAACTTCAACATCTTTATGACGCCTGCATCTAACTTTGACAAAAGGGTTTTATTAAAATCATAGACGAGGAAAGGCCAATTCAAACGTGAAGTTAAGTAATTCTCGTAGATCCACGCTTTTTTGACGTTACTTATCGGTTGGCTATCTACCTTGTTAAGATCGTTCAAAAAGCTATCTACTATTCCTTCTAAAGATGGAGTACGGCCTATATTATCAATCTTACGACCGAGAAATTTAAATGGTGCATTTTCCGTAACCGTAGAAATGCATTGACCGCCTAACGATAGTCCCGGATCGTATGAGGTGTATCTTGTATTCCGCCTACCAAGACACAGACAATGACATTTACTGGGTTTTGTCCTCAATCCATCCGTCCACTCACAGAATTTATCCACTTCATCCAATAGTACTTGACAGTGTTTGGGGTTACGTGTCAGTATTGCGAGATCGTCAGCGAAGGCTAAAATGGATTCCGTGTATTTATTATTAAACTTAAACCGATAACCCCATTTTTTCTCGTTACAGATTAATTTGTCTACTAAGATGTTAATAACGATATTAAACGTAATTGGAATCTCCAAGACAACAACCTTGAAACAGTCCTACATTATAACTCAAACTTTTTGAAGGGCCTTCTTTAGTTATTATAGAAAACCTTAATTTTGAGTAATACGACGCGATCATATCTCTAACTAGGGGTGGAAAGTTGTACCATCTAAGCGCGAATAGCATCAATTCGTGTTGTATCGACCCGAAGGCGTTCTCCAAGTCTATCCAACAAACAGTGATTTGCCGCTCGCTTTTTCTAGCATCTTTCAAACTCTCCGACAGCAAGGTGTTGTGTTCTAGGCATCCAGAAATCCCGGGTAAAAACCCTTTCTGGTGATTTGGCCTAAAATAGTTGTTGCTGAGCATGAATCGCGTCATTCTCGTTTGTAGAACTGAGAAAAAGATTTTCGATATAGTATTTGTTAAAGCTATCGGTCTAGTATCTTTCGGATCAGTAACTATATCTTTTTTGGGAATGAGGACAAAAATTGCTTTCCCGAAGCACTCCGGGATTTGCTTCCCTGACCAGATTTTACCGTATATATTTAGGAGGTGTTTACGAACCGATGGACATTTTTTAAAGACTATATATGGGATACCATCGGGTCCCGGTGCAGATTTAGACGACTTCCTCTTGATCTGACTACTTAGTTCCTCTAGCGTTGGTGGAATGCCGTGGAATTCGATTCGAGGAAATTCAGGTTTTTGATCGTTTGGATCCCTATACCGTCTTAAACTTTTAGGCACTTCGTATGTGCTCTTAAAATGGTCGTAAATTTGATCGTTGGTCAAGAGAAGCTGTCCGCGTTCTTTCTTAAAAATGGTTTTCGAATACTCAAAGGGGTTTTTTATCGAAATCTACTTCTTGTTTTGCCCGGTCAAAATTATCGCGATATTCTGTAGTTTGCGCCGATATTCCTTGGATTAATTTAAGGATTGACCTTAGCGCCCTAGCTAGTTGATGACTAAGGTGATTGTCGCCTAGAGCTTTGGCTATACGTAGATTTTTTATTAATTCCCGTTTTTTCTTCCGCATTTTTATTTTGAACGAATTGTCTTTATTTTTGCGAGCATAACGATTACGTGGTGGATATTGCTCGCTAAAGTAGTCATAAACGGTATTTTGGAAAGTTTCTACCTGCGAGTTTAATTCCTGCTTCGAGCCCGGATGCTCTAACAGGACCGCTAAGTTGTCATCATGAACTTTCCAAGTCGATTGTTTTACATTAGGAATGCTAAGACGTGTCCTGATGTTAATGGACTCCTGGTGGTTTCCAGTTAATGGTTCACCATGGGATACATGAGGGTCAACTCTATCCGAAGTGATAGTTGGAGATCTTACCGACGACTGTCGTGCTTCAACACCATTATGTGTTTTGAGATGTTTAATGTACCAGGCTCGTCTCTTGTAAATTTTCCCGCACGTAGAGCATTTCAAGTCCGTATTCGCGCCGTTTTCGCCGTTAAAATCGACCGGTGGACAGATCTTCCGCCCCCCCTCTCGGACTGTCCCAGGGGTATTTTTCTTCTTCTTCTTCTTCCTACTACCTACCTATTGTAAGTAGAATTACGTAAACTTGCTCTAATAATACCTACACACTTATGTATTCAGACTTGTTCGTGCTAACTGCCCCTCCAAGAACTTAAGTGCTAATTTTCTCCAATGGTTTGTAGAGAAAGCTACAACTTGTAAGTTTAATTATGAAAGGAATAATCGGCAGTAAAATTATTATTTTCTTTTTTATGAACATTTTGAAAAATCTACATATACTGTATTTCTAAAATACCCAGTCGTATCATAAATATTAAAATAAATCTGCTTAACTTTCTTCAGTATATATGATAAATAATTGTTTTTAAATATGCTGTAACAGCTCGTGCTTACGCTCATTGTGCTTTGATATTTAAAGTTAAGATTGCTTTTGAGGCTTAAACTACAATAATGCACTTCATCCCAGTTTCTATTGTTCGAGAAGAATATGCTTAAAATATTTTTGTGATTTTACGTTTGATTAAAGCAATAAATTGGATATCAGAGGTTATCAGGCTACTGTGTGGAATACAAACTGCGACGTGATAGATCTGGTTGTAAATTTCCAAGCGATGAGGTCACACTGCTTGCGCCTCGATGTCAAATCACCTCCCATACCCATGACATCTCTGACACCTCCAGTTTTCGGAACACCAATTCTTGAGTGTAGTTCTGAAACAAAATTTTACAACAGCACCACATGAACACCACAGTTATTCCTGATCAATCGGCCACTTAAACGTAGTAAAAAAAAAAACCGGAAAAAAAATTACAGTTTATAACTCTCTATTGTCTGTAATATACTCTACACATATTCTGAGAACCAAAAAAAAACTTATCAAAATTAAACCTTTAATCACAAATAAAAGTACATAACAATAGATAGTTGAACTCTTTTACTTCTTAATCTAAATTGAATAAAATAGAAAACTACAGTTATCATTGATTAGCTGACATTTTGAATCATATTATTGCAACCTATCTTCTAACACATTAAAAAGACATACCTACCTGTCTTTGTCGTCTAACACTTTAAAAAGACTTACCTGTCTGAAATAAACATGCGGAAGTTGATCGTTTGAGGACCTTGCTAATGATGTAGATCACCTGACCTTGTTGCACCTGATTATGGGCGAAACGCACCTTTGAAATCGTACACGAAATTTGTGTTTCTGCCTCTTTGTTATTAGGATCAAAATATGATAGATTCACAAACTGATTAGAACTTCGTAGATTGCATAGTGCTGCTATAATGTTATTTTAAAGAATATACGCCAGTGGTTTACAATGGTACTCCATTTTTTCGATATTTGGTCTTATTTCGTCGAATACGTTGCTGATTTGCCTAAATCCTGCTTCTGATATGTGATTAAAAGGCCAACCGTGGTTAGTATTCTGTTCAATCATACTTTATAACCACTCAGCAACTAAATGTTAACTTTGCTAAATTATACTTTACAATCAATAAACAAAAAATTATGACTTTTTCTACTCCAATTAACGTTATTTAAACTAAAGCCCAACAGAGGCGCACTATAGTTCTAAGAGACGATGCCCCCAGTGAAGTGTTCTGTCCTTTATTATCTTCGCGGCCCATATGAGATTTCAAACCAGACTGGTCCAGTTCAAAAGCATCAGTACCGGTGCCTTTGTGTTGTTCATCAAATGTGAAAATCTTAAATTAGAAGTAAGACCTTATAAACGTTAAAGAAGAACGGAGTAAACCGACTGAAATAAAAGAAAACTACTTCATGCACCTTTCGTACTTGGAGAAAATCTAATAAATTCCTATTTTTATTTTGTCTTATCTAAATCTTGAATATCAAATCAAAATATATTCAATTTAGTTTGAAGGGATGAAGGGAGGTATTTTCTATATTTTTAATTATACAAATATTTACAAATAAAATTGTTATTTTGTTGCAATAAGGTAAAATTTTTGTGGACAACAACTTATAAGTATCTAACATCAATTTTGTTTGTTTATTCATACATATTTAGTTTGCTTGTCAATAAACTCAAGTTCCATAACCAAGTAATTATTAAGATAGCTGTTATAGATATTTGAAAGACTCTATGTACCTACACTTATTGAGAATACTAAAATGGGCTACTTTTAAATAACATTCCTTATTATAAGTTTTTGACTATAATATAAGAGGTTAGTTAATGTTATAGTTCCTCGAATAAAATAATAATGTACAATTATGAATAATGATAGATTAACATCAAATAATTACATTCTTACTTATAATTACTTATTACTCTAACTAATTCAAAATATTGACTGATATAGAATTTCATCTAACCGAACAATAGTCTAGATTTATCGGGAATGCTAAATTGCAAACCTATTATTATATCAATTTGGTATTATAATTTTACCAAACGTTGTATGGTATAGACATATGTACATGGAGTAGGATGTACATCAAGGTTCAGCATTAAGTTTAATTTTAGTTCATATTCATTTTAATGTTGCACAATCTGACAGGGAATAGGTTGTACATCCAGTTTAAATTATAAATTTTTGTGTAATGAAAGATGTTTAGACTAGTTTCATTTTTATTTGACCGTAACGTAACTCTCATGAATATACAAATAAGAAAAAACTATCTAAAAAGTACCTTAATACGCTTAAAACAAAACATTTTCACTGATTTGGCATGAACAAATTTTAATCATTTAACTATTATAGTGTTATCAGAAGTCTATTGTCAAAAAAGAGAAATATTATTATAATATTTATTGAAGTCCAAAATGGTATTTGACGACGGTGCTTATTACTCACAACAACATTTATTACTATTATTATTAATCTTAAAAACTTAAAAGCCATTTTCTTTTTATCTGTGTTCATAAACATAGTAAATCTGTACACAAAGTGTGTTATTTTTATACTGCAAACACTGTCTCAACACACGCACATTTCAAACCGAGATGTTCTATGTTTAAAATGTGCCTGTTAATATTTTAGATATTTATCTAAATAAAACGATTTAGTTTTAGTGTATTTTTCTCGTCCACAATTTGAAAAGTTAGTTGTTAAATTTATATCATACTCATTCAAAAACTTTTTGGAAGAAAAAGATATGGATATTTTCATGCATACATATATGTACATCGTTCAAATCTTTTTGACTAAATTAAGCTAATAGTTCAACACTTTAATAATTAATCAATATCTATAATAATTTAACTATAAATACAATAGAAAAGCATTTCGGTGTGTAATTAATAAGCATTTTGACAAAGCCATCTTTTTACGAATTAGCTTTCTACTGAATATGATTCAACAGACAATTTTACTTTTTCACGAGAATTATGTACTGTAATAAAAAATAAAATATTATTTTGTAATAAAGTTCATAAGACATGTAGCTTTATTTATTTTAAATCTGGCTTAGTTGTTTGTACCGAAAGCAAAATATCCAGCCTTTGGATATTATGTAGCAATTAATTATTAATGCAAATTTATTTAAAAATCTCAATCGATCAAAATATCATCGATAACCCGAAGAAAAAATACCGTATTTACAATGAAAAACTCGTCTTCAAATATAATTACTTTGAATTAATAGAAACTAAAATAAAAGCACAATTTATTGAACACTTTTATATTGAATTGCCTTTTTGCATGAATAAACTATAATTGCTACTCTTTTGAATGATCTGAAAGAGGTTAACCTTCTACTCACTGAGACAGCTATTATTTCCTTTGGTAAGTTGTTTAATTTGCGGAGATTACATAGTAGAAATGATGTCGCATAAGCAGCTATAATGGTTATAATGTTTGCCATTTATCACGTTACAAATAGATTCTAACACTTTAAAGATTAATTATTTGTGCGCATTTCACAACTGTTTAATGGAGTGAGCCTGATCTGATTCACTAATTGTTTGAGTTTTATTTAATTAAAGCTATAATTTTAGTATATACCTAAAACATGATAATAATAAAAAACAGATTTTTTTTAAATATTTTATTTCATTACTGACATATAATTCTTTATAGAAAATTGTATTATTCTAAATAGCTTAAACTTTTGTTAGTAATTGTATATTGTCATTTATTATAAGAAATATTTTTATAATAAGTAAATTTAAATAATTTTTGCTTGTTTTCAGATGTAAGTCAACAAAACAATAAATAATTGAATCGACGAATTCAACACCTTTCAGGCTAGTAAAGCGGATGCACCTTATACTTTTATCAAAATTTATTTTAAGAATTCCTTATAAAAGTAACTAACCTAACATTTTGAAGTTATAATCCGGTATGACATTATAAATAACGAAAGAACGATGTAAGTAAAATAAACAAAATTCATTATATTCTTAATTTCCAGTGTACGGAAAAACCAATATGGTTTATGAGACACTGTGAAAACTTAGACATAAATGTAAAAAATACTAACATAATTGTATTAAAATAAAAAAAAAAATCTTTAATACATAAAGATTCATATAACCAAAAGAACAAAAAGTACCCTGTAAAAGTTTAATTTCGTATAAATTTACTGACAATGAAATATGGTTCACTTGCATTTCCGATACGATATTCTCGAAGGCTACATGAGTTTTACATGTTTAATGACAACAATTAAATATTCTGTAGTATTCTTGAATATATTCGATCGGAACACTATTATTTAAAAATGATGAAACTTAGCTGTGATCCAGAGTAACCCATTAAGTAGACCGTCTGGTCGTTGCTACCTTTGACTTAGAAAAATAGTTAAAGAGGGGTCTCGATGACATTATGTAGTCGTATATCACATGAACTTATATATGTTTCAAGATGTATAAAATAAGTTCATGTGTCAAAACGAACATTATTTAATGTTTTTATTTTAAGTTATTATTGGATGTTAAGTAATTTCAAAAATGTACATTGATGAACTTGTACAAAATCTTAATTACCTTACATTCAATATTGTGAAAAATAGAATAAAAAGAGTAGTGTATATTTTGTTTTCAATAAACAATTACCCTTATAGCCTTTCACAAAAATACGTTTTTCTTTTGCGATCTCTTCAAGTATCCATTAGGCTTAGTTGAAATTCTAATTGTATGAAATAACTTTATTGGAAATATAAATTTTTCTGTAAATCAACTCCGATACCATCAATATTCAATTTGCTGCTCGTTATCATGGAATAACGACAAAGAGATTTAATAAACGTTGTTTGAAAAACTTGAAAAGTAAAAAAAATACGTTTTCTGCAATGCTTATTATTTTTATTGTTTCTATAAAAGGAAAGAAAGAAATACTACCCTCAATAAATTGCAATAAATAAAGTAATCATAGTTGCGTTTTTTAAATATACTCGTAAGTTTCTTTTTTCTCGTAGGTTTCTTCTTTCTGCACGGAACTAAAGTTTAAACTTTTCACTTGATTTGTAAATGTCTGTTTTCTATTAATTTCCCTTGTACAAATTTTTCATTTGTCAGACTTCAACAATAAGTAAATTGGAAATTTTGTCATTAAACTATTAATGGTCTAAGAGCCCGTGAACCCCAGACCTTCGTTATTTTATACAAGCTGAAAGTTTGTCAGCGCATGCTCCCAACACAGGCAAGAACGATGGTCCATTATGAAGTTTGGATTATAGTGGCTTAGGCAAGTAAACGGTACTAAAGGTGTGTAAAATTATAGCCAGATTTTTTTTATAATTCCAATCCCTTGCCACACAAGCATAAA